TATTTGAGCAGAAAGCATGACTTGTGCTAGAATTCCTTAGTTACTGGATGCTACATGAAATCTCTTAAGCACATGGCAAGATTTTTTTCAATTATACAAGTGAATAAGGAGCCAGTGCACAACATAAATGGCTCCACATTCAGTTTTTTCCCAAAATCTTTAACTGAAATTTCCAGATGGCCCAAAGCCCTTAATATACAAAAGTCTCTTATATCATTGAGTAACTTACAGGATAGAAATAAATGTATCACCTGCGGTTTGGGTCCAAATTAATGAAAAGTCTAGTTCAAGGTCATCCTCAACTTCAATCAATATTCTCTTAGAAAAAAAATAATTTTGTGTCATCTTAAAAATGGTAAAAATGAGTTGAAAGCCTTTCTGGTGTTCTGCAGCAGCTAAGTCCCTAACAAATATTCTGAGGGGTAGAAAGAACATTCTACTGACAGTCCTCTGAATTCCTCGAGCAGGCTGAGCTGTCCAGTCAGCTCAGTAGGGAAGAGTAAAGAGCAAAGATAGGAGTCTCAGACCAGCTGCTGGGAACTGGACCCTAACTCTTCAAATAAGCCTCCTCTTTGGCCTATAGCCCCTTCAAGATTACTCCACACCTACGTGTGTGTAAGTGATTAATATATACAGTCTCCAGTGCCGTGGGTGTGATCCTGAAATAGTTTTCTCTGCTAAATGCTACTCGAACGGATTCAACAGAAAAGAGAATAGAAAGCTGAGTGAAATCATGCAACAGCTTGCTTTTCTACTTTCCATAGAAAAAGTGGCTTACATTTTTCTCAGCTTCAGCAGGTATAAGAATACCTAATCGCAACCATCTGAGCAATCTAGTACCAGCAAGGGAGCCCCTGAATTTTCCTCCCAGGACCCTTCTGGACTCCTAAGACCAGAGTTTGTCAGTGGGGATTCATGGAAGAAGTCATGACGTAAGGCCATCCATCGCACCAGGACAACTGTCCTAACACACACTCCTGTCCCTGCCTGAGACTCTTCTAGGATCCCCTTCCCATCCTTCCTCTCCTGCAGTATACTCAACCTTCTGTGTGAACCCAGGGTAGACCCCACAAAGCTCTATTCACTCCGTTTGCTTTCGCCCTTCAACAGCTAAAAACTTAACGGGGGTTGAAAAGGATTCCACACACCGACATGTCAATGCTTCTGACAGTGACAGTGTTCACTGGTCACAGATTTCAGAAAGAAGATGAGTTGTGGCATGAAAGCGACTTAGCTGAACACAGTATACTAGATTTTGGGAAATTCTCAAATATGGATTACACTGTTAGTGTAGAATCTACACTGTAGAAAACATATTGTCTTCTTGAAAGCACATTTCAGCACCCAAATGCAGTAAAAATTCAATAACCTGAAGGTCCTAGTTCCCTAAAGAATTACTGTGGGCTACAACTGACGATGCACGGAAATTATATTGAGAGCAAGCACTTGGAATAAGGCCTGTGAATTCTTGCATACTCAACCCATGTTAATCTGCCTGATCACTTTGGAGCCCAGCACTAGCACCAATTCCAGTGACTATATTGTGTAGAAATAAGCAAAAAGAGCACAGAATGCCAGTGCTGAAGAAAAGCATCAGCATCCTGGGCTCACTGCGATACAGTGTATAGTGTACATAAGGAAGGACACTGTCCCACTGCAGTAAAGGTGACTGCATCTCAGCCCCCAAATTTCACCTCCCCGCTAGACAGTTCCACCTAAACATCACCATATCTTTTGCTCCAAACCAACAGTCCTAATCCTTATTTTCAATAAGAACACCAATATTTCCCAGTCACCCAAGTTCAAAGCTGTAATGTGATTAATAAACCCACAAGGGAGTCAGAATCCTCTCAGCCTTACCATGTAGAATCTCTCACAGTCATTTTTCTTTCCCATTCCCATCATCCTAGCTCAAGAAATTATTCCTTAAACCCAAATCTCCCAACAGGGTCTTCTTTATGTCCCACAGTCAAATTTATACTCTAAAACATTATTTTGAACAAGTCATCCAAGCCTTGAAAAAATATCTACTTATCTGGCAGTGGAGCCAACTCAAACCTATTCTCATGAGCTTGGACAAGCACGAAGCACCTTCCACAGGAAGTTTCTGGACACTGGGCTCAGGAACAAGGATTCTGAATCTCCAGTAGTTTCTTATGTTAGCTACTTTTTGTCATCTCTTCTTTCTCCATGGTGATCAACAATTGAATCTTTGAAAAGAAGGGCTTATGGCTCGTTTTCATGGACAACCAGAAGGAGCAGGTGGAGTGCTTCCTACACCACATGCAGCTTTGGGGGGAAATGAATCCCAAGAAATAGAATAAGAGTAACTTTGAAAAGATAAAAAGGAAAGTGAACAAACTCCCTGGGTCTGTGGGTACACGGAGGAGAAGACTGAGATGGTGAGCCAGGCGGGTTTAACTTTAAAAGAGGACTATGAAGACTTCAGGACGAAACCCAAATATCTTACTCTACATTTAAGACATTTCCATCTTAACCAGTGACCCAGTAGGTAAGAGGAAACATATCCATAAGAAAAAAGTTAAACATAAGCAAGCTATACCAAGAGCATGAAGCAAGCACTTCAAGAGTTCAAAGGAGAAACCAAAAAACTCAAGAACCTGGGCAACAGAGAAGTCAGGACTTTGAACTGCATCTCAGAGTGTTCAGGGAGTAAGTCAACCAGCGTGGCTGAAGCGGAGAACACAGAGAGATAAAGACGATGTGAGAGGATGTATGTCACAGTTCTGGTCCACTGTTCATGGGCTGCTTCTCCTCTCCCTATCTGGACTGTCAGCTCGGAGGCCAGGGACCACCACCAATAGGTTAACGATTTGTTAACCTACTAGCTAAACATCAGTCACATCCCAAGAACTCACAATATTGGGAACAGTGTTAACGATATTTAATCTCAGAACAGCATAACATTGACACGCTCTCTGAACTCAGGTTTCTTAAATACCTATATTAAAAACAGCAAAAATTCTGTAAAAGTCAAGAAATAAGGATCCATAAATCAAAACAAGAATTTTTAAGTAGCCAGACACTCTTAGAACCACTTAATAAGATAAAAAAAAATTTTTAACTGCTGACATCCTCTAAAGGAGAAGGCAAAAGAATGGAAAGTCTGATGAAGTGATAAGCAGTTTTAAACAGATTTACAATCAGTTTTTAAACAGTAATCCCTCTGGGAAATGGAAATTCCTCTCCTTAATCCCTTTGAGGGCAATATCATATTTGAATCAGGAAGGACATCTTGCTTCTTTGTAAGTTCAAATGTGAACCTTTTACAGTACCCTCGACATTAAACAGCAAGTAGAGAAGAGGACATTTCTAACCTATCAAAAAGAGAGGCAGTCAGCATCTTAGATTTATAATATATCTTGGCTAGACACACACGCAGAAGCTTTGGTAAAACGAAACTAGGGAACTTCAAGGTTTTAGTTAACAATGATTACTTAACTGAGCTTATTCCTGTGAAACGAAACTACTAGAACCCCTCTATCAATCTGCTTGTCACTAAACCACAGGTTTATGGTTTATCTTGGAAATGCTAACAGGATGGAACCATGAGCCTTTTATTAAAAGGTGATGACCATGGAGAGCACCCTTGAAGCTTAGCAACAGAGGACTCAACCCTAAAAGGTTCCCCCCTGGAAAGTGAGGACAGGTGATATGTATGCCAATGCCAGTCCCCAAACGACGGAGTGCATTTCCATTAAAGATGGGAGTTGTAGTACTAGCAGATAGCAGACACCAGCCCACCAGAAGCAGATGGAACCCACCAACTCATTTTACCCAGACCTTCAAAAAGGTACACAGAACTGTCTCTGCTTGCCAAAGCAGGGCAGATCTGAATGGGTGAATCTAAGAAAAGGTTTCACGAGGGATTACTAAGAGTGATTTCATTTGCCCCCAATGTAAAACAGGATCTGAAAAATGAAAAGCAACTTCAAAGCTCCTTCTCCACACTCAAGCTACACACACCCAACATGGCCCAAAAGCTTTACTTTACAAGATAAAAAAGACTCAGTAACCTATTCCAGCACAGAGGCTCTTCCAGAAGAGAAATCTAACTGGAAACACTCCCTGCTTACGTACATAATTCACTAGGGGTCAGGTAAGATTCCATTTTGTAACAGCTGAACTTTAAACAGAAAGTCATTAGTGGTGCAACATTCACTCATTAGCATAAACTTGCCCCTAGAATGAAAAGCACTGGCTGTCTCTGCCAGGATGACAACTTTACAGGGAGAAGCTGCGGCCGAGGACCATGAACTCCTAGAAAGTTCTATCGGCCTCCGAAGAGCTCACCATCTCCACCAGCCTAAACTTAGCTGTCACCTCGTTCCTCACTCTCCACAGAAGACGGCATCGCTAATACAGGAAATTTTTAAACATAAAAGATAAAAAGATGGGCTAAAGGGTCAACAGCAGGCACAGCCTTACAGCGCTGACATGATTCCTGTTTGGGATTGGGGGAGGGGGAGGAGCTTCTGGATGTTTCTATTCCTGGCAAGGAAAGCACCTCCAGGTCCTGTACCATCCAAATGCACTAATGCTGGAGTGTTCTCGGGGAATGAATGATGTGCCTGTGCTAATCGTCGGGTGTGACTACGGGAAGAGGGTGGGGAGGGCTGGGGGGAGTCGGGGGAAGGTGCGCTTGACTAAGGGGGACAGTAGGACAGCGTGCAGGGATAAGGGGGTCCGGGAAGGTGTGGACCGTCAGGAGGGAGAGTGTGGATGACTAAGGGAGGTGAGGGAAGGGTGTGGATGGCTAGGGGATGTCCAAAAAGGCGTGGACGGCCGGCGGGAGGGGAAAGGTGTGGACCGCTAGGGAGGCCGGGGTAGGTGTGGACGGCGGAGGGACGGCGAGACGGCCATCAGCCCCCGTGGAGCAGCGCCGAGGGGGGGCCCCGCCCGGGCGCCCCCACCCCCTCCTGTGGGCGTGTGCCCGGCTGCGCGTGTGCAAAGGGCCGGGCCCGCAGGCCGCCACTCACCCCACGACGCCCTGGTTGTAGTTCCTCCGCTTCCACGGGGTCCCGCTGTACGCGCCCCCGCCGCCGTCC